CAAATGAGCCCAGGAGGACAAGCCATGCACAGCTTGAGGCAGCGCTCAGCAGCCGCTCCGTGCTTTCTTCTCTCATACTGCAGGTTCTTGAAATCTAAGAATCTGCAGAAGCCCTACTGGCGGCTGTACAGACCCACAACAGGAGCCCTCCTGCTGCTGACTGCCCTGCACCTCTGTGACCGGGTAAGGGTAGTACCATTCTTGCTCACACCCCTGTCTGGAAACAAAGGGTAACTGAGTGTGGGTGTCCCCAGCCCTGCCTTGTCAGCTAGAGGGGAACAGAGTGAGCACAAAAAAAGAGCAGCCCTAAAATAGTTCACACAAGGGTTGTGCAGCCTGCTTTAGGACCTGAGAGCTGTTGTGCCTCCCAGGCTTCTTGCACAAGTCAGTGCAAGAGGATGTTGGCTTTCTGGGGCCTCTTTTCACAGCCTGGTCTATATTGGGTGCCCTTGCAGAGTCATTGGGAGGCGTCCTTTTCTGTGCTCCCACCCTGTCTGGGAGCTGTATTTCATTTAGCTCCCTCTGTCCTTGATATCTCCCTGCTGAGCCCTCTTGTCTTTCCCAGGTGAGTGCCTATGGCTACATCACAGAAGGTCACCAGAAATACTCAGATCACTACTATGACAAGGAGTGGAAACGCCTGGTCTTCTACATTAACCATGACTTCAACTTGGAGAAGCAGGTGTGGAAAAGGCTTCATGATGAGAACATCATGAAGCTCTACCAGAGACCCTGACTGTGTGGTGAGGGCCGTTGCCTGGGAAATCTCAACAGCACCTCACAGGGAACAGAAGAGGACCTCAGAAGCCAGGGTTAGCACTGCACTTCCAGGCCCAGCTTCAGCTGCACTGAGATATTTCTGTCCTTTGGTATCTTTATTTTCTCACAACACTTCCTAAAACGTGCATATTCTACAGACCAAGAGAACAGAAGGGAAAAGTGCCTCCAAACAAGTCCCACCTGACTTGTGAATGGTTGTATGCTCTGGTGCTGGGAAAGAGAAATCCAGGATGAATCTGAATAGCAGATGTTCCAGTGCCCATTATCTTAATCGGGTTCTCCCTCTGCAAGGAGATGGTTTGGGGCTAGTTTTGCTGTAGGTGGGTTCTCTCTGTAAGCAGTGCTCTTTGTGGAGCTGGGTGTTTTTGATAAGCAGTGGATAGAAAAGGGGACACGGACCATCCTGTCTCAAGGGGATGATTTGTGTCCTGGAGGTGCTCTTGTCGCTCTGCTCCCTGCAGACATAAAGACTGAACTCTTAACTTCCAAACGCATCTCAGTTCCCAATGTGACTTTGCTGTGACACCTCCTGGGGAGCACTGTGATGCCTGGTGCCCAGCCTGCTGACCTTGGTCTAGTTCACCATCAGCACAAGGGAAGGGGAGAGCTCTCCAGAGTGCAGCAGGATGCTGGACATTGTGCCTCTTGCTGTGGGGCTCCCCTGGCTGCTGGCTGCATGTAGTGAGTCTGGTGCAGAAGCTGGTGCTTGGCTATGCCAGGAGCATGGTGCTTCCTCTCCTACCGGGAGAAATGAGAGTTCTCAATGTCCAGGGATGGATGCTGTCTGTCCTTGCTGCTGACTGGAGTGCCTGCCTACGTTGTGCTGAGAAAAGCACTGTTGCAGCCAGCAAGCCTTTGGAGTACTGGCCTTCTGAGTGGGCTTTTGCAAACAAAATAAACGGCACTGCTTTACCCAAGCTGATTTCCACTGCAGCCCTTTGAGATGCGGTTTGTATCTTGTATCCCAGTCACCCCCCAGAGCCCACGGAGGGTTTTGCTGCTGCACCCACAGGCTCTGTGCCCTGCAGTGCCTGTGCGTGGCTGCAGCCCCGAGTCTTGGGGCTCTGGGTGGGCAGGGAGGCAGCTTTGTTCCTTGCCCATGCATTGCTGTGGGTTGCTTGGTGACCGGCTCCACTGGGTATTCTTCCCTCCTGAATAGGGCTTTTCTCCTCCCAAGAAGTTGGAAGAAGTTTCTTTCAAAAGAAAGAAACTCCCTTCCCCCTCTTCCTCTTTTGTCTCCTTCTTTTCAGGGAAACAGGGCAGGGCTGAGCCCTGCTGAGAAAACGAGGAGCCCAGCCTTTGGGATGGGCTGGCAGCCCCCAGCACCCATCTCCTCTGCAGCTGAGGGTCAAGGAGAGGGAACTCCTCGGGACGATGTCCCCATCAGCAGAACCTGATCCCCCTTGGCTCCTCTCTTAGGGTAGAGCCACGCAACAGAATGTCTGCAGGTTTGGTGTGCCGGGCAGGGCAAAATTGGTGATGCTGGGCTGTGCTGAAGCAGCCCCAGTCTCTCCAGCGCTGCCCTGGTGACCAAGGATGTGGTTCTGGGCCGCTCCAAATGTCCACATCCAAGCCAGCAGCGTTGTCCCTGTGCCACCAGGTGGCAGCTGCTGTCCAGGGCTGTGCTGTGGGCATCCAGGTGTGGCAAAAGCCGTGTCCCAGTGGGCCGTTGGCCCCTCGTGTCCCACACTTCGTGATGCTCACCTGCCCTTATGGATTATGGCATGGAAGCTATTTGGAGTGCACAGGGGTGCACACAGGAGCAGTTTGATGCCATCACACTCTGAAAGCGTTGTCACACAGCCCTGCTTTTTTGGGAGGAAGATGTTGGAGAGAGCCATGAGCTGTAAGTACAGCTGTGTCCTTCTCACTGGGTACCCAGGAGTTAACAGCCCCCAGCTGTTCCCTGCTGGGATGCAGGGACAACTCCCCCTGCTCACAGAGCCGCATTCCTGGCAGGGCTTCCAACCCTTTGTTTGGTTTCCCTCTCTTCTCTTTCTGTGGTGTGAGACAGCACAACCTTCCCGTGTTGGTGACTTGCCCGATGGAATTGGTGTTTATTTGTGTTACCCAAACAGAGAGTGGGTTTGGGGGCACCTCTCAGTGAGGTTTGCACCCTTCCTCACCTCTGCGTGTAGACCTGTGCTCTCTTCTCAGGGATGTGGCAGCAGGGAAAGCCAGTTGGACAAGAAAAACTATTGGTAATAAGGGAGGGTGAACGAGATAAAGGAGCGACCTGAGGCTTTGTTCTGCACAAAGCAGAGGATGACCTCCCTTCCCTGAGTGCCTTGGGAGGGAACTGGAGCGGGGCCCTGCAGGCAAACAGCTCCTGAGATGTGGCAACCTGAAGGCATGGGCAGACCCAGCCCTGGGGCCCAGATCCTGGAGGGGGTCCTGGGAACATCCTGGGATCTCTGGGTTGTCACGCCATGGGAACCCTGCAGGCAGACCAGGCAAGCACTGAGTTGTCCTCAGTGATGCTGTGTCATTAAGGACACAGAGCGTGGCCAGCCCCCACGTGCCCTGCTTCAGCAGATCGAGGGGATGTTTTGCCTGCAGAGACCCTGGCAGGATTGGTCCAGAGCAGCCAAGAGAGCGCTTGGAGTGCCGTCACCTCACCACAATTAGAGGTGTTTTCCAGCTCTGTGCCCATCCAGGACAGATCCCAAAGCCTCACCCAATGCCTCGTGCCCTTCGGACTGTGTGCTCAGCTTATCTGAGCCCCAGCCAGCGGTCCAGGGCTGACCGACAGCTCTGCCATGCACGGGCATCTCTGTGATAAGTGGGGCTGAGCCCAGTGGGGCAGGGAGGAACCTCGTCCCTCTGATGTTCCCGCTTCTGCAGGCAGCACAAGGGCACCACAGGGCACAGCTGACCAGCAGGATCCAGTTGGTTTGGCACAAAGATGAGCCACGTTAACCCGGTTTCAATGGTGCATCCCGCTCTGTCCATAGTGGAGATCGATGCTTCGTTTCCTTGGGCAGCTTTGGGGTGAAAAACACAAAGGCAGAGCCCAGTGCTCAGAGTGACCAAATGTCCTCTGCGCTGCCCTTCCCTGCACCAAGACCTAGAAGCTCCACTGGGACCACGAGGGACTGTGAAGGCATTTCACCTCTGCAAGGACTTGGCGAGGGGAGGTTTGGAAACAGATGCCCGTTTTCCCATTCCTTGCATTCAATTTGAGGACAAATTTCTCTCAAAGAAATCAGGCACAGGCTGCCCAGGGGAGGTGGCGCAATCATCTGGAGCTGTAGAAGACACATGCAGATGTGGCACTGAGGGATGTGGTTTAGTGGTAAATATTGGTGGTAGGCAGACGGTCGGGCTGGGTGACCTTGGAGGTCTTTTCCAACCTTAATGATTCTGTGATTCCCAATTTCCCCCAGCAGTGCGAATGGCTCAGGCCTTCCAAGAATCAACTGCCAGAATGCACAGCTCAGGCTAAGGATGACAGTTCTTATCATGATTATTGTGTGTTCTTTTCCTAACCTTAATGGCCGTTATCATCCTAAAACCTTATCACACTTACCCAGCTTCTAAACAAGCACAGCTTATCTTCAGGGTGTGGGCCAGCACGCGTTGTGCCATAACATAAGTGGAGCAGATGAACCGTGTATCTCAGCAAAGAAACGACAGCAAAAAGCCACGTGGAGTGGAAACTGATGGAGATGTCAGAGCAGCTCCTCCACCCTGATGGGGGAAGGCAGCAGAGCTGTGTTGTAGGGCTGTAGGCATTTCCATATGGCAAACCCATGGCTTTCCCCAGCCTGCTGCTGCTTTGCTCCCCCGGGGCTGAGCCACACTGACTCCTTTGTGATTTACCCACACAGTGGGTAACAATTAGCCCTGATTAACGAAGGGTCAAAAGGAATCACATGAGCTGAGGCAACCCTTAGATATCAATGCTGGATGCCGTCCCACAGCGTAAGAAAACCATTTAGGGATTGCTTGGAGTTGGTTTGCTTTCTTCTGTTAGATGAACCTGGCAAAACGTTATCTGGAAATACCCTCGAAGAAAAAGCTGAACGTTTTCCTTCGGAAAGCAGCCAGGTTCAACCCCAGCCCTCCGCTCGCAGCTCCTCTGCGGGTGCCGGGGGCATTTCCAGCAGCGCTGGGGCAGGCTCCCTTTTTCCCCTTTCCCCTCTTTGCCCCCCCCCCCCTTACCCCCCTTTTTTTTTCCCTTTCCCCTTTTTTCCCCCTCCCTTCCTCTCCCCATTTCTTTCCGCCCCAACCTGGCCCTTACAGACCGAGCTCTGATGGCCGCAATGCGCCCACGGGGTCCGGCGTGGGAGCGGCGGACGTGAGAAGCGGATGAAAAAGTTACGGGAAAAGGGAGAAAGCTCCGATTTGTGCTCAGCGAGGGGGTGGCGTGAAAGGGAGGCGAGAAAAAAAAGAAAAAACAAACGCAAAAGCCGCGCTGAGTCAATGTTTAACCCCCAGCGCGCAGCAAAAGCGGCTCAAAAGCGGTGGTTTTTTTTTTTCTTCTCAGCGAGTCTGAACCAGTCCGCCCAGTGCCTCCTCCCTTCGGCTCACACCCTCCTTCCTCCCACCGCTCCTCGGGAACATCCATCAGTCCGTCCATCCATCCGTCCGTCCGACCGTCCCGGCTGCGGGGAGCAGCGCAGCACCGCCGCTTTCGGATCCACACGGACCCAATCCGGAAAGCAGCGATGGGGTTCCCCCGCTGGAAGCGTTTCTGCTTCTTGCTCCTCGTAGCCTTCACCTCGTCCCTTTTGCTCTACAGGCACTATTACGCTACGATGGAGCTGCGCAACGGCCCGAGGGTCGCGGCCAGGTACGGGGGATGCGTGTGGGGTGGATCTGGGGGGCCTGGGAGCTGCTCGGCCCCTCCGTGCCCGCTTTGTTCGCTGTTTGAAGGGCTGTTTCTCCCCCGCCCCCCGCAGGGTTCCTGGGTCCTGTATGGGACTCCTGGGCTGCTGTGCCAGGGTCCCTACGTGGACTCAGGGTGAGGGATCAGAGCACCGCCGGCAGCAGGATTGGAAGGGGCTGCTTTGCAGGGTGAAGGGCTGACCCTACACCGCAGCTGCAAGAGCAGGGCACGGCTGCCGGCATCCCGCAAACTCCCAGACTCCGGCAATGGGCATCTCCTCCTTGGCTGCCCCTTCGGATTTCCCCTGAGCACCCCCAGTTCTGGGCTGGGCGCTGGGCAGCCCCGGGTGCACGGCTGTGAGAGCAGGGACGGTGCTGTGGGACAGAGGGGAGACTCTGTAGGACCACAGCCGGTCCTACACAGGGGCAGCTGGGTGCAGGCCGGTTGGCACAGGGAGGCACTGTGCAGCAGCTGGATGGGCTGCCTTGGGGCTGCATCTCCCCCAGCGGGAGCTCTGTGCACCCATCCCACCTCACAGCCCGGGCAGGAGCTGCTGCACAGTGCTGGGCTCGTGCCTGGGTGCCCTTGAGAGGAGAAGCTGAACCCCACGATTGCTCCAAAGCTCTCCTGGGATCGTTCCCATTGGCTTTAATCCCAATACCAAAGTGCAGCTCGTGTCCCGTTGGCTCCGATTCCCAGCATTTGCAAACACGCTGCCCCGTAATCTCTGCTTGTGCCTCCAAAAATACCAACCTGGAGCCACCAGCGCTGCTCTGGCAGCTGATACAGGGCTGAGCTGGGACTGAAATCCACAGGTGCAGCACTCCTTACTGCTAAACACGAGCATGGGGTGACCTTCCGGGCTTTTCCTCCCATTGGGGCACAAAGGGTGGCTGAGCAGTGCTGCGTTTTGAGGAGCACTGTGTGCACAACGTCTCCTGCTGCAGCCTGGTGGGGGCATGCAGGGCTTGGGAGGGTACTGAGCCCTGAGTGTGGAGCTCTGCCCATCCCAGCGTCCCACATGGGCTCTGTGCTGGGGAGGAGGCCCCACACTCAGCCCTTTGCAATGGGATGGAGCAGATGCTGCTGTTGCAGCTACCTCCAACTGCTCTGGCACCGTTTGCTTCAGACAGAGCGTATGTTCTCCCATTTATTTGCTGGAAGCAGAGAGTGACCACAGAGCAAAGATGCCACACTGATGAGTGCCACCACAGGGACTGAATGCACCCTGGCTCAACTCATGGTGCCCAGCACTGCACCCCTCCCAGAGCCCCATTGTGCATCGATGGGTCTGGGGGGGGGGGGGGGGGGGGGCTGTCATCTTCTGGGGCAGCCAAGCATTGCTGGGCATGGGGACACTGCATCCCAGGAGGTGCTGGGCAGCAGCCCTGCCACAGACAGCTGGCACCGTGTGGGAGATGGCTGCAGTACAGCAGATGGGGTGTGAGCATCAGCTCTAGGGATGGAGCTGATGGGGAGGAGGTGTCCCTCCCCTGCAGTGGGGAACAGTGGAGGAAACCTAATGCTTGCTGTATGGGAGGAGGCAGAGCTATGCTCCCCACCTGCTCTACCTGTCCCTGAGATCCCAGGTAACAAGGAGCCCTTGTCTGCTCCACAATGCCCTGCTTTGCTGGAAGCACCTGCTGCTCAGAAGGGCCCTTCTGTACAGGGAAGAATGAATGGGAGCCTGTTCCCCACAGGTGGGCTCCCACCTCCTGCCTGGCCCTAAGCTGCCTCAGGGGCACCCATGGGGCTCTGAGCTCCCCAACGTGCAGAGTGCATCCCCCAGATGTTGGCAGTGGAGGTATGGGCACAAGAGGGATTTTGTTCCCCTGTTTCATGTGGGGGCACGCTGCTGTGTCTCCAAGCATGGAGTGGCACTGATGTGGGGCATCAGAGCATTCCCCAGCCACCCTTGCACCCCCCTGCAGAGCCCTAATAGCCCCACTGTTTTCCCAGTGCAGTGATGGGCAGGGGCTGTCAGGATAAGGAACGTGTTGAGGACTTGGTGTCACCCTCCTGCTGTCCCCTTGCAGCCTGCTGCAGCCAGAGCTGCTGTTCCTGGTCCGCCCAGACACCTCGCGTCCAGACAACAGCCACCAGCAGGACCTCGGAGGGACTGTGAAGAGGTAACTGGGGGGAGAGAGGGAGTTCGTGACGGCCCCAGTGTGTGTGGGAGCCTCCTGAACCCTTCTCACTGCTGTACTTCTCCCATTCCAGCAGGGAGTTCTCCCAACCATCCTCAGAGCCGGAGAAGCCCAAACCCAGTGGAAAGCAGGTGACAATCGGCAGGACGTGGGGTGTCCCTGGTGCTGTCCCCTGGGCCACCAGCCTGTCCCCACATCGAGGGGCTGCTCCTGTGAGCCGGGGCTGTCCCTGTGCTCCATCCAGGTGCCCGGGGTAGGAGATGTTCACGTGCATCTCCATGAAGCCCAATCCTTCATCACCCTGAGGATTTGGGCTCAGCATTTGGGACACGGAGGCGCGAGGCAGTGCTGTGCCTCCAGCAGCCAGAAAGGAGCAGCTCTGTCCCTGGGTCTGACCTCCCCTTGGTGCCTCTTGAGGCTTCTCCAGGCTCAGTGCTGACCCTTCTCCCCCTGCAGCCCACCCTGTGCCCCCGCTCGGTGGTGGCCATGGCGAAGGCAGACCCCACATTTAAGGAGCTCTTCCAATTTGACATCCCAGTGCTGATGTGGGACCAACACTTCAACCCCGAGACGTGGGACAGGCTGAAGGCACGACGTGTCCCATATGGCTGGCAGGGCTTATCCCAAGCAGGTATGGGCCTTGGGGGGCTCAAGGGGACCTTGACAGAAAGGGTCAGAAATGGAGAAACCCCACAGAGGAGCTGGGGATCTCAGTCTGTTCCCACTCCCAGGGAGCGGGGTGGTGGGGACAGCTTTGCAAATGCCACTTTGCAGCATCTTGTGACATTTTCCCCAAATAAAAGCTCCAGTGTGTGCATGATGATGAACTGAGGCACGGAAGACCTCAGACAACCCGCTCCATTGTTGTCAGTGGAGATTGTTTCCCTTCCAAGTCCAAACCTACTCACTGCTCTCCCCGGCAGAGAAGTGATGGGGATGGGGGGAGCAAGGAGGGGGTGGTTGCAAGAAGGTTTTGTCAGGAGGGTAAGCGGCCGGCGCTGGCGTCTCACAGGTCTGGGTCTGTCCAGATGTGTCCTTGTGCCTTGTACAGCATTGGGCAGCTGCTGTGGGGAGCGGGGTCAGTAATATGGGGCTGGGAGAGGAGATTTCTTCTCCAAAAGAGCGGTGCTGCATGGCACAGCTGCCCAGGGAGTGGTGGAGTCGCCGTCCCTGGAGGTGTTGAAGAACCACAGAGATGTGGCACTGAGGGATGTGGTCACTGGGGGTGGGTTGGGGTTGGACTCAGAGATCCTAGAGGGCTTTTCCAAGCATAGCAGTGCTGTGATTCTTCCCAGCTGAGGTGCAGCCATCCACACACGCATGCTTAAAGTGCTCCCAGCACTGCTGACACGTACTTCTCCCTTTTTTCCCAATGCAGCTGTGGGCAGCACCCTGCACCTCCTTAACAGCTCCTCCAACACTCAGCTCTTTGGCCGTGACCGCTTCCCCGGGGGCTGCGTGCGCTGCGCCGTGGTGGGCAATGGGGGAATCCTGAATGGCTCACGGCAGGGCAGGGCCATCGATGCACATGATCTGGTCTTCAGGTAAGGCTGGGAGGGCACAGCGGGGCTGTGGGTGCTGGGGTGAGCCCAGCCCTGACGTTGTCCCACGGCGATCCCGCAGGCTCAATGGGGCCATCATCAAAGGCTTTGAGGAGGATGTTGGGACCAAGGTTTCGTTCTACGGCTTCACGGTGAATACCATGAAGAACTCCCTCGTTGCCTACGAGGCGTATGGCTTCAGCCAGATACCGCAGGGCAAGGTGAGACCCTGAGGGCACGTCAGGGTGCCCACCCCTGAGAATGGGCTGCCGGGGGGGTGGTGGGTCACCATTCCTGGAGGCTCTCAAGAAAAGAGCGGAGGTTGCACTGAATGATGAGGTTAATGGCATAGCGGTGATGGGTTGCTGGTTACACCAAATGATCTTAATGGTCCTTCCTTAATGATTCTGTGATAAGTTGACCCCTGAGGCTCCTCCAAGCTTCAGGAGCCTCAGTCCCCACCATGCCTGTGTTCCTGCTGCAGGATCTGAAGTATATCTTCATCCCCTCGGATGCACGCGACTACATCATGCTGAGGTCGGCCATTCAGGGCAGCCCGGTCCCCGAGGGCTTGGACAAGGGTGACGAGTGAGTGAACTCAACAGTGGGCCACGACGTGCCCAGCTCTACCCTAGGTGACACCAGTTCTCCTCTCCCTGCTGCAGGCCACAGAAGTATTTTGGACTGGAGGCATCCGCGGAGAAGTTCAAGCTGCTGCATCCCGATTTCTTGCATTACCTGACGACCAGGTGAGGATGAGGAGGCAGATGTTCCCCCCTGCAGATCCCATTCACTGCAATGCTCACGTCTCCTCCTTGTGGGGAGGCTCGTGCAGCCTTGCACAACCTGGCCCTCCATTTCACAGCCGGTTTCGAACTGTTCTAATGGGAGCAGAGGGAAGGTCCAAAGATTTGGGTTTGTTTTTCGGTGTTTCTGGTTTGGGGCAATTTTAAATAAAGGGGAGGTGCGTTTTAGCAGCTGGCAGAGAATGTATTGAACCTTAGCAGCAGACATCAGAGCATCCACATATTCCCCCTTCTAAACGCCATGAGAGGCCACGTTTTGGTGGGTGCCCTGCCTCACGTTGCTGTTTGGTGGGGGGGTCTTAACGCCATGCCCCTCTCCCAGCGCTGCCTCTGCTCTGCAGGTTCCTGAGGTCAGAGCTCCTGGACATGCAGTACGGCCACCTCTACATGCCCAGCACTGGGGCGCTCATGCTGCTGACAGCACTGCACACCTGCGACCAGGTGAGGGGACGCCTTGCCCTGCACCGGGGGGACCTCCTACCCTGAGCCCATCGCCAGCCTTCTTCCCCTGTCCCATCACCCCACAGGTCAGTGCCTACGGGTTCATCACGGCCAACTACGAGCAGTTCTCTGACCATTACTATGAGCCAGAGAAGCAGCCACTGGTGTTCTACGCCAACCACGACATGCTGCTGGAAGCAGAGCTGTGGAGGAGTTTGCACCAGGCGGGGATCATGGAGCTGTATCAGCGTGAGGGCAGCTCAGTCCCACTGCAAGGACTCTCAGCGCGGCACGGAAGTTCTCCTCTTTCCTGAAGGCCTCCTTCTGTCCCTGGAGGGCTCTCCCATACCCGCAAGCCAGCCTGAGCAGCAGGGCCTGCAGCTGACAGCAGAGCAAAGGTGGTGGTGCAGGGCGAGCCAAGGCTGGCGGGGAAATACTGCAACTCCTCAGGGCCCTCCAGCATCTCATTTGTGACTCTGAGCGTGGCTTTGGGACACCTCTGCACGTGGCTGTGAGCTCCTGATGCCTTGAGAATGTCTGTGGGGCAGCAGCAGCCCATGGGAAGCACAGCGTTCATCCGCAGGTGGGGCAACGTGGTGCTGGAAGGAGATGCTGGAGAAGCACGCACCTGCCAGACCTCATTTCTTGGAACTTTCTGGAGTTACAGCCTCGAAGTCACACTGGGTGGGCTGCAGAACCTGCAGGGCAGAGCTGTCAGCAGCGTGGTACTTAAAAGAGAAAAAAGGAAACCCAAAGGGAGGTGGTCTTGAACCCTCCCCCCGTCCTGCGTAATGCAGCACTGCTGCAGTGGAGTGGTGGAGGCTCCTCCAGCTCGTGGTGGTGGCTGCAGGGCTGATGCTGCACAGCAAAGGGAGCGGTGTGATCTGATTACTTGGTGTAATTAGAGGAACATTGAATCATTATTTTCTTCTACGCCTGGTTTAGTGAATGGGGTGGGTTGGACAAAGCATCCTGCCTCCTGTAACACAGCGAGGCTCTGATTTGGGAATGGCAGAAGTGTGGGTTGGGGTGGGAGTGGGGCTGCAGGGACGCTGCGGGTGCCCAAGCAGAGCTCTGGAAGAACACAGCACAGGGCGGTGGCTGCAGTGGCTCGCTGGGCACTTTGAAAGCAGCCTGTTCCCACCTCGATGCCATTTGCTGTACGTCAGCTGAAGGGTGGAGGGGACAATTGCAGATATGGCAGGAGATAACAGGGCTGAGAGCCAGGGAACCTCGCGCTCCCCTCCAGCTCCATCCTCCTTTGTGACAAAGCTGCACTCAGCTGCTTCGACCTGCTTCAGATGTAATCTCTAGTGGAGCCCTGTTTGCCTTCTCAGGTACGCCTCCAATTAACCTTTGTTCGTGGCAGACACTGCACAATGGTACCATGGCAGCCTGCTACGCCTGTTTTTACATACAAACACTCAGCAAAACCTCTTCCATGACACGGCCTCTGGTTCTCACATCACCCAAAAGAGCACCAAAAGCTCCTCAGCCCAAGTGAGAGCACGGCCCACGTGGCTCTGAACCCATCGGTGCCACAGGTGGCAAAGAACAGCTGTGAAAAAGGAATGCAGACACGGTGCAGCATCTCACTATGAGCCCTGCCCAGAACCTGCTGTACTCACACACAGCTCCTCTATTTTAAAACAGGTTTCTTCCCTTCTAGCCTGGGGTTAAGGCACCCCAATCTCTCACCTTAGCAGCCCAGGAACCTGATGTTACCCTGCTGCCTGTCACTGCTCCCTTATCTTGGAGAACCTGAGCTGACCACAAGCAGCCCATCTTTCACAGCCCCACACCAGCCATGGTCACAGCTACTGAGAGTTCAATCTCCTCAACTTTTGGCATTCTCCTGTGGAAGACAATGAAATCTGAAGACTGTATGAGGCAGACAGTAAGCTCGTGCTTGCTCTTATTTCAGAAGGCACTTCAATATGAAATCCTTTCTACTTGCCCAAAGTCATTTCTGTTCAAAGCAGACACCCAACAAAGACCGACTCTCTGATTTTCAATGATTTGTTTTATTCAAAAACAGCACTGCAGAAACCACTTGCTCCTTCCTCCAGCTGCAGACCAGGTCCTGTGGAAAAGAGAGCCAGAGCAGAAGCAACCATCAGCTGAAAAGTTCCCAATGCTGTGCATTATTGACTCAAGAGCACACACCTCCCCCTTGTAAGACCAAAAGCATGCTTTGTTTTTCCCCCCCTGCTCCTCGGAAGCCCAAAGCTCCATGTGCTTTTCCCTGTGACTGCTTTTTGGAGCCTATCTGTATTGACAAAGCTGCCACCATGCTGGCTGCAGTAACATCTCCTCCCTTTTTGTATACCAACCTTTATTTTCTACGGAAGCGTGCTGCCGTCAAGTCTGCTGGTTCAGCCCATCAGTGCACAGAACAGATCTTCTACAAACAGACACGAGTTCTGTTAAATAAAGCATGGAACTATTGAGCAGAACGCAGCTGTCAGCCACCTGGAGATAAAGTGCTCTAGCAGAGTGTGTATTTAGTGACTATGCAAGATTAAAATGTGCTTATCTGCCCTCCAAATGTGCCTTACTGTTTGGACAAGCAACTTAAAAGCTCTTCGAAGATGTAGAACTAAACTACTTGTGACAACAGCAGCCTATGTTTATTATTATGGTCCCTGCACAGTCTTGCCATATTTGGGTTCCTAAGGCAGATACAGGCATACAGACAAGTGCTCGTGCTGCAGCTGTGCATCTTAACTGCAGGAAGAAGAGGACAGCTGCTGCTCTCTGCCCTCCTCGTGGGCACCTGCATCATTGCAGTTCTCCTACGTCTTGCAGAGACAGAAGAGTGGAACAAACACAGAAGCCTCAGTAGGACAATCTCCTTCACAGCTGAGCTGTCAGACAGGGATAACAGCACATCACCGGCTCTGTTCCTGCCCTGCTCTCACCAACTCCCCGAGTTCTCCGGGGACGCCCAAAAGCAGCCATGTGAGCTGTGTCCTTCCTGGGAACTCTCACAGATTAGGCGTTCTCGTCAGCAGGTGAGTCACACTGCCTGCAGTTTTGGCACATAAGAGTGTAAGATTAACAGAAATACTCAAAGATTCTCTCACCAGTTTGAGGTCCGACTTCACAGCTGCCTTCTCGCCAAAGCTGCCTCTAGGGGATGATCCAACCCCAGGGTTCTGCACAACATTTTCCTCCTACATGGAAATTGCATTGAACGCTGTTAGCAGCAACCCTCCAAGCTGAGATTGTCCTGCCTTTGTTTCTCCTCCAGCCCTACTGACAAAAACCAGCCCCAAGTCACAAAGCAAGAACTGGACAAGTTTTCCTTTCTAAGATGGGCAATCTTTGCCTTCAACTTAGCATAGCAGAAACCAGTCCCTCAGAAACAAAGGGGCATGTTTGTCAGCGAGTTGTTTCACTCGAGACAAGAGGCTTTGGGAGGAAGATGCTACTTAAATCTTTCCTTAGGAAACAAATACGAGCTCAGAGGCTTTGGTGGTTTAGACATTTATATGCCATTCATGCAGTCTGCGACTTCTCATTGTACAGAAATGCCTTATACAGCTCGCAGAGAATAACCCACTCATGTGAGATGTAAGTTATCTATGGATTTATCTTGGGAAATGCATTCAAGCAGGTCACAAAAAGATGCATCTGTGCTGGGGAAGGATTCTCCAGTGTCCCTTTTTGGTGACCTTTTGGTCTATGTGAGCTGCTCCCAGCAACCCGATGCGAGTTTAAAACCATCCCAGCACACGTCCAGATAAGCACACAGACCAATTATCCTTTCACTAGGTCTACTTCTGTGACAAACACACTCATGAGATGAACTGTGTCTCCACAATGAGCTGTCATCCAATCTACTTCTAATCCCTTCTACTCTTGCTCATCTTCAACAATGCTGACAAGCAGGTGCTCTGCAGGGCACCAACCACATTAAAGCTCCCATTCATTGTGTGCTGCCTCTCAGCTTGCGCTACAAGGCAGCAAAGGGCTGCACACTCAGATGGCAGCTGCAACAAAGCCAGTCTTGATTGGCTTAATTACATTAATCAAGCCATCAGGCTTTCATACCTCCTCCCAGCAGCCCCAGGGGCCCAGAAGGGTATCACCTGACACAGCAGAACAAGCCTGATCTCTACAGCCCAGCAATAGGAGAAAACTGAGGTATGAGGAGTTGAGTGCTGCTGTTTCTCACCTTTGTGCTGCTGATGCAGGCTTACTGCCAGCCCGGTGAAAGACTCACCCTCCCAGGAAGGTGAGTGCAAAGGGTGTTTTTCCCTTTGCTGGACAACATGCTGCCACCTGAAAGAACGGAGAGATAAGAGTTAGTCCACATAACAAACCGTTTTTTTTTTACCTCCTCCCTTCCGACGCTGAGCCTCAGAGTCACACTTCCACAGCGGAACGCTTCGGACAGGGATAACCAACCACCTCATCACCGGCTCGGCCGAAACCCAGACCGCGCGGTCCGCCCCGCACGCGGAGCCACGAGCACAGCGAGGGGACGGTGGGCAGCAGCGCCCCCTAACGGCCGGGTTCGCGCACTGCAGCGCGGCTCTCCGCTCGGCCGCTGCGCTGACGGCTGCGCTGAGCCGAACCCACAGCGGTGTTGAGCACCTCGCGGAGGAGGAATCGCTGCACGTCAGGCCTAACGGCCCGGCCTGGGCGCCTCAGAGGGCGAGGCGGATGCGAGGCCGCGTCCTCTCGGCGCGCCGCGCCGCCGTGGAGGCCTCACCGGGGGAGGCGAAAGGCTGCCTCCCCGCAAGAAGACACGGAGGCCTCGCGTTCTGCAAGCAGCCGTGACGGTGCACGACAGCCCCCCGCTCCCGTCCGTGCCTTCCCCGCGCCCCCCGGAGCCGCCGCGACCGCGGATTGCCGGCGATGGCACCGCACCCCACTCACCACCACCAGCACCGCCGCCATGTCGTCACGGAGACCGGAAGAACGGGCTGCGCGCGCCCACCTCGCCCGCCAAGTCTCGCGAGAGAGGGAGCGAGAAAATGGACGCGCGGGGGCTGCTGGGAGGCGTAGTGCAGCGCCGTGTCGCCGCGGCTTTGTGCAACGTGGGAGCCCTCAGTGCTCCCTGAGCCGCCCGGTTCTTCTCACGGCCCGGAGGCCTTAAAAAGAAATAAGGAAATAAACGTGCACAACTCCTCACCAGGGTGAGGCCTGGCTCTTCCAGAGGCGCTCCCTTAGGCCCAGCGGGGCAGGCTGCAGCGAGGCCATGCTGCCCTGCCGTGCCCAGTGCTGGGCCGGGCGCCAGGCCTCGGCACTATCAGTGCTCCCAGCTGCCCTCTGTTTGCTGGGGAGGCACACGTGGCCATAGAGTGCCTCAAAGGGCTGAAAGCATGAGCTCACCGTGCAGGAGGGGCGCTTCAGAAGGGCTTGTGGGCTGGAGGTTGGGGTTAGGCAGTAGTTAATGTGTGAGCTGTGCTTTGGGTGCGTGGTGTTTGGCTGTGTGCGCAGGTAAGAAGCTGCCCTGAAAGCTGTGGGATCGCTTGTGGTGCAGCTGAAGCAAAGGGAGGGAAAATAGGACTTTGTAATATTGGCTTTTTGCTGGTCCCAAAGCATTGCCCAACCTTGTGAGGGAAAGCAGCAGGAAATGGAGACTGAGCAAACCTGAGTCTGAAAGAGGAGGAATCTGAGGATGGATACGAGCCCAGTGCTTAATGGGTGTCACCCTGAGATGTTTGCGAGTGGGGGATGCGCTTCCTTGAGGTGCTCAGAGGAAAGATGCATTCCTCAAACATAAAGGTGCCTGGTTCTCCACAGCAAAGCTTATAGTGGCATCCTACAGCATGACAACAGATTTGTCTGACCTGGCAACAGCACCCAGCCCTGTCCCAGGGAGCTGCGCCACCGAGGAGCCTGGTGTCTGCCCCGGGGTCCCCTCTGGTGGCAGCAGGACGGCCAGGAGCTGCTGCCTACATGGGAGGCCCTCTGTGGGCACAGCACTCAAGTTCCCAGGAAAAGGCAGTGTGGAGTTGTTTGTTTTTAATGCCTGGATACTCCTGGCCTTGCTCCTATTTTAGAATTTGATTCTTTCCAGAGCGTGGATTTAACCTGGCTGGTAAGTTCTTTGCTCTCCAGGATGGCTCATATTGCTTCCTAAAAGTCTCTTTTAAAATGTCAATAGGCTGCAAGAATCACTTTATTACAGTGAGACAAGAAGGCTGCAAAGAGACAGCAGTGTGCTCTTAGAAATAAGCCACTTCTCCTATTAAGCGTCTGCCTAGGAAGCCTTTCCCAGCCCTCTGTGCCTTCCAGGAACTGCAGAGAACTTCGTGGGCTGCCCAGGCAAGGAGCACAGAGGAAGCAGCCAATAAGCAGAGAACCCCTGGTTCATTGCACGAGAGCTTCAGTGCCTTCCTGCCCTGTGAGAGCCTTCTGGAAGGAAGAGTGAGACACAGGAAGGCAGTAATTAACATTGCCTTCGTTTCCTCTGTGAAGATGTGGCTGGCAGCCTGCCTGCCTGCTTTTAGCTTTCCTGAGAAGCAAATACGTAAAACCCAGCAACTAGAATTAGCCCTTTAGATCCCTGAGGGACACCAAGTTTTAAAATACAGCAGCCGAAGTCCTGCCTTGTGCGGAGTTCAGAGTATAGAAGGAGAGAACGTTCTTAATTGTAGCATAGACGATGCTCACACCACAAAGTAGCTCTCTACTTATGCTTATAGATGGATGAGCTCAGCCAGGGGCAGACTCCACGAATTAATGGCTCAAGAGAATGGCATGAGCTGAGCGTGCAGTAGTGTGGCTGTCTTTATTCATGATTGCAGAGCGTAAATAATGTTTACAAGCGTATTTGAAGGCAGAACAAAAAGGCTCTGGGTGAGAAGTGGTCGTCGCTTCAGCCGTGCCCACGTTCTTAACTTCGCCTGCGTGATTTGATGAGGTTTTCTCAGCTGTTCCCTTTAGAGGGCGATCCTGCCACACACATCTTCAGCGGGCCAACTTCTGGGAGCTGCAGTGCGAGGTGAAGCCGCCCGGAGGTCAGCGGAACATGGTGGCTCTTCTGGAGCTCTGCAAAGCTACGGACATGAACGGAGCTGCAGTCTGGTCCAGGCAGTTCTGGTTGAATGTGTTCTGCTTCCTCAGGCAGTTGCCAAGCTGCTCCCAGAGGTAATTTGGAATAATTCTGGTAGATTTCCTGTGGCTGATCTCCGTCAATTATGGTGCTTTTTTTCCTTCAGTCTTTCAAAGGACTTCTATTTTTGTTGAGCAAATAGAGAAAGCAATTAAAAGGGCATGGTGGGCTTCTGTTTCTTGGGAGCAGCCCCAAAATGATTACTTCTTCCCACCAGCTGATCCAAAGTGGATTACTTCCTCTAGCAAATCATGCACTGGAGTAAGGCCCCACTTTCTGCTTTCTGAAGGTTTTTCTTTCTGTCCTGCAAAGCCACAGCATTAACCTCTACAAAGAAGTGTGAGCACTGTTGTGGAGTATGGGGTCATTCCTTGATCAGAGAACAGGAAAAGGGGCAGAATGTGTGACAGAGAAGGGAAGGGAGGAAAGGAAAACCGAACAGAAATAATGACAGAACCCCTTCAACTTCTGGTGGGCTTTGATCCCACGCTTTATTTGAAGGACAAGGTCTCCTCCCAGTTTCCCACCCCTTTCCCCTGCTGGCTGCCTTGTAACACCCTCTGGGGAGCAGCTCTCCATACTTAGTGATAGCAGCTTGATTCCCCTCTGCCTTCCAGCAGTTCCACTCTGCAGACATGGTTCCCAAAGCCCGGAGAAACAAAGCATCCATTGATTCAGAGCTGCCTGCTGTGGTTATCTTCTTTGACATATGGCTGGGGGAAGCAACTGGGGTATATGAGCACATTCAGAGGCTCATCCCCTATAGCTAATTGTGTCTGGCAAGCACCAGCCCCCTGCATGGCTGTATTGCACAAAGCACGAGGAGAAGCTGAGGAGCTGGATGGATGCTTGGCTCTGCTCCGTGTGCTGCATGCATAGCAGTGCACAAAGAGCAGTCCCCTGTGGAACAGCTGGAGATCATTTGCTGGTAATTCAGGTGCCAGACTTGTAAGGGAAAAAGATCTGTAGTGTTAAGAAAAGCCTGCCAAGAGGTCCCAACGCCTGGTGCCTGCTGCCTCAAGTCAGTCCCAAGCAGTACAAGAAAGGCTCTCTGGAGCTCAGAAGCAGACAGAAGCAACATCTTCCCACGCAGGACAAGGCATGCTGCAAACTAAACACCCTTTTCCTGGTAGCAAAGCTTAGGCCTCCATTTAATGTTAAATACATGCTTGAACCCACTCATCTAAGCTACCAAAAGAGAATTTTAGCAGCCTCAGAAATGCTCTGCTTTGTACAAAGAATGGTAAGAGCTTTATTTTTACAGAATATGAAGAGAAAGGATGGCCTTTCTGGAAGAGTGGTGGTATCTTCAGGCAGGGCTGTGGTATGGATTCCTGCAGGTGATGGAGAAAGAGAAAGGTTCCCTTTCCTTGCTGTGCTGAGCAGCAGAAGAAATGGCAGCTTCAGCCACTCAGCCCAGAATGGTCATGATTTCCCTCTCAGCTTCCCTCCACTGTTCTTCCCACTTCTTTCCCCTTTCCTCAACTGAGTTTTGAGCACAGTGCAACAAAATTGGTCTCCGTGTGCTGTCCCAGCTCAATAAGCAGTTGCCAGGAGATGACCTTGCTTTGAGTAGAAAGATGAGTCCCCTCTATTTTCTGCATCAGCCTTGGAGATTAAAGGCATGGTAAGCAGAAAGGGAGTGAACTGGTATAAAAATATCTAGGCACTAATGAGGAAATTCTCAGGTCTTCTTTTATCACAAGCAGTGTTTCTGTTTGCCTGGATTACTCAGCCAACAGCCGTTGATTCAGTCAACCCAAACTGTGCTGTCACAAAAGCGATATTTCATCTATCACTCTTAGAAGAAACATGCCAGCCATGCAGGGAGCAAACAAACGTATTCTTAGGAGTAATTAGCCTGAACTGCACTGAGGTCAAGCGGTTCAGTTGGAGAACAATATGAATCCCCAGCATCTCCGTACTGAAAGTGGAGAACTGCAGATGCCATTTCTCTGGCTCACCTCTTGCTTCTCATTGTTTGCACCAGAGGAAGGGGATGATTGCTCTGAGGTGTTTTTAAGAATACCATCCCTGCTAGTTTCATTGCTGGATGTGAAATAACACTTTTAAATCACGAAAGGTCGCGTTATTTCACGTCCTTTTAAGTCGTCAGGAGCCAGGTGTCACTCTGTGCATCCACTCATGGGTTTTCTCTTGAGTGGAAATGTCAAGAACTTGTCTGGCATCTCTGTGGGTCTGTGACACCCGCTCCCTTCCTGCAGGGAAGACTTGGTCTGCCTGAGCTTTGAGAGGAACCAGAGTCCTTCTTTTTGCCCTGTACCTGCCTGCTGTAGTTCTGTCTGAATGGCCCCAAGTTCTTGTTTGGGAGCAGGTCCACAACTGGTCCTTCCTACCACTCTGCCTGTGCCAGCAGGACTTAGGGACCTACTTAACCTCCTCTTCTCTTTGTGCTCCCAAGGCTTCAGGACAGATCAAAGCATGAGGGTAGCATTGTTTTAAACCACCAGTTTCCTGTAGAATGTGATCTATCCACTTACAGATGGCTTTTATGGTCTCCAAAGCCTCCTGTGGATTAGCCCATGGCTGACTGTATAAACACTGTCTCTATCCCACATCCTGCTTCCACAGCATGCTTCATGCTTCTCTGTCCTTTCTTTCAATTCAAACATCCTGCAGAATCCTCCAGCATTTCTCAACAGCCTTCCCTGCTCTCTTCCCCCCTGCCAGGTTGCGAATACAACTCCAACAGCCCCCAAATTCTTGGAGAGCTGCCCGCAAAAGACAGAGATTCATGTGCCTTTCTTCCCGAATTAACCTCCAGCGTGTGTGCCGCTGCTTTGCTGTTGACCCCATGCCTTTGCTGTTGCATAAAGGTAGGTCTGCCTTCAGCCAGCTCTCCTCCTGCGCATTCCAAGTGCTCTCCTTTCTCCCCTCAGCTGTCATCTCGAGCAGCCTGGCTGCTGAAGGCAGTGGGCGGGTGAGCACACACCACAGGAGATGGCTGATCTCCCATAGCACTTCTGCTCGGGGATGTGCTCTGCCATGCCAGCGTTCTCTTCCACCTCTCCCCATTGCAGGAGGGGCACAAAGCACAGCTTCGTATGGGGGCTGAAGAGGAGCTGCGGGGAGAGCAGCAGACCAGGGACTGGCACTCCTGCACGTGCCGGTGGCTATGGGTGGCCCTTCTGGTGGAGGCTTTGAAGCGAGTGCCCGGGATGTTGAGGGGTGGTGACATCTCAAACCGCAGCACCTGATTTCCCAGAAGCTGTGTGTGTGGTGCTGCTGACTTGGAGCAGCTGGCAAAAAAAGTAGAAGCACTCTCCCTCTCCCAAATCGTTCTTTAAACAGTATAAAGTTCTCTGTAAATGTTTAAAACAACAACAGGATTGGGAGGGGAAGGAGGAAAGACAAACAAGTTTGCTGTTTGAGCTTTGCAGAAACAGATCTTAATTTTTTGGCAGGGTTCTCCTTGCCCAGAAGATCCAGCTGCCAGCACACTTTAGGAGGCTCCAAATTCATTATCGGTGCTCTAACATCTCCCTCCAAGAGGCTGCAGTTTGGCACAGGCAGTGCCTTTGATGTCTGGGCTTGGCCAGCACCTCGTGCTGTAGGATCCCAAGTTCATCGCTGGGGCATTTCAGCTTGGGATCAATGCTGTGAGTGCTCCCAGAGATGCTTTTCTTTCCCAGCCCTGAGGTTCGTGGTTGGTGAAACTCAGCAGGAGCTGGGGAGCTCAGTGGAGCGTTGTGCCTGCATGGGAGTGGGGCAAGAAACGGGCAGGATGTGGGGGCTTCCAGTTGCTAGCCCATTGCCTCTCCTTCCTCTTCTACATCAGTAAGCACTGCCAGCACCTGGTGCATTAACACAGCAGAAACCCTAGATACTCTCTGAATACGCAGCTGGTAAAGTGACTTCAGTTCAGCTTCTCTCAGTTGAAGGGTGAGAGCTGCGTCCTGGCTGGGCTCCAAGCTGAGGGGGGCCTGGTGGGGATCTGAAGCCCTGGGTACAGAGGGTTTGCTGGAGACCAGTGGCTGCTCTCCAGGTTCCAAGCCTTGGAGCATCTGCCCCCATGGGGATCCTGGGGAAAGGGGCCATTCTTCTTAATGCGGGGTAGACCTTGGGCTGAGAAAAAGAGACCGTGTCTTTGGTGGCTGGCATACACAGCCTATGTGGCTATAGAAATAGGCTGCGTTTGCTTCCTAATATCTGTGTTCCTGCTTCAACCGCTTGGTGTGGTGCTGAGCTGCAGCAAGAAGATGCTGTTGCAGAGAGGCCCCGCTGCCCACTGGGGGGTTTTAGGAGCTGACTTTGCTGCTGTCACTCCTGTACCTACCTGCAGGTCCTGCAGTGAGGGTGCCCTCACAGTGGTGTTTCCTCTACCTGCTGTTGGTGCCTTGTCCCCCCTCCCTGTGTTCCTCCTCCAGGCAGCTCAGCACCGCCCCAGGCAGCACTGGGTGAGCTCCCCCAGGGGTCTCCTTTACACTTCCAACTTCAGCCAGCTCTGTGCAGAACCTCCAGCGAGATAAAAGAGCGAAGCAGTGTGAAACCTTCCTCCTCCTCAGCAGATGGTGTTTGCGGCAGTGGACGTTTCCTGTGCTGCTGTAACAGAACGGCCTGGTCTAGCCAAGAAGCGGAAGGGGAAGCTGCAGTCTGGTCTTGCTGAGGCTCCCTTACTCTGCAGACTTGACCTGAGATCCTGGATCACTTATGATCTCTTGTTTTCTCAAGTATCGGATGCTTCTTTCCCCTTTTTTTTTCTCCATGTTCAACCCAGGTGCTGAAAAGCTGCCATGCCTTGCTGCAGCCAGCAGCTTCAGTCACTGCAGCACTCACAGCAGCCTCCTGGGGCTCGGTGACCGCAGATGTGCTGTGTGATGCAATGTGAACTTCACATCACCTTCAGGAAAGACTGAAATGCATCTAAGCTGGAGCTCGCTCAGTGTAACTGAGCAGAGCAGCGCTACATCTGTGCAAGCTGTGAACTTCCAGCCTGAAAAGCCTCACGGGTGGAGAAACTGCCCTGTTCTGCTTAGGTTTGTTTGAGCAGCTCTGGCTAAAACGGTACGCCAAGGAGGGGCAGCTGCACATCCATCAGGCTTAGTGCTGTCAGACCAGGCTGAGATTGCTGAGCACTGCAGTGGGTGCTTTGGAGACAAGTCTCAGTCGGGGGAGCAAGGAAATGCATATGGCCTCGCTGCCTCGCTGGAGCCAGCACTATGACTGCTCCCTGGAGAGCAGCTCCCTGACTGCATCAGCTCCCTGAGCAGCTCTGCGCCTTCTCTTCCCAGCAGCCAGAAACTGCCTACATCAGCTTTTATCTTCCACTGGAAACCAGCTGAGCCACAGCAATGCGGAGCGACCCATGGGCACTGCGTGCTGCTGCAAGCTCTGTCCCACACCCAGGTAATTCTGGGGTATGAACCTCTGTGGGAAGGGGCTGCGTTCCCCTGCCAGCTCTGCAAGGTCAGGCACAGCCCATGCCATGCTCTGGGCACCCCTCCTCACCCCTCTGACTCCGGTAGCAGCAGGCTGTGTCAACAGCCCTGCTGAGCCCTGCCAAACCTCAGAAGCCCTTTCACAGAGCGCCATGTGTCAGCCCTCCGTGTTCCCTATCAGCGCCATCTACCTGACTTCATCCTGCCGCTCGCAGCAAGCCTGGGCAGGTAGCAGGACAGAGGGCAGCTGGAGGTGGATGCTGGGGGTTCAGCCAAAGTGCACTCCTTCCTGCAGCATTCAACTAAGGAAGGGATCTTTCTTTAGCTCCTCTTTTCCTCCGCCTTTCAAAGCGGTGCCGTATGGATGCTATCATGGAGTTCATTAGTCCCCGTCGGAGCCCCCTGCCTGCAGGGGATGGGTTTTGCTGCAATCGAGATCTGGTGGTTTTTCTCTTGGGATTTCAAGAAGTTTCATTCCACCCATGAGAAGTGCCAGGCGTCGGGGGAAGATTTGTTTCTTGGCAGCTGTTCCCGTTTTGCTCTAGAAAACAGATGCTGTGCTAGGAATGCACCGTGACTAAAATTCCTCTGGGCTGCTCAGGTCAAATAGCAGCAACGGGGGAAGCAGGGGAGCAGCACTGCTCAGCACTGTGGGGCTGAGCATTTCTGGGGAGCGGGGGCTCAGTGTTGGCTCACGCTTGGCTCTGCCTGTTCTAAGGAGCTGCAGAGCCTGGTGGTGTCAGCTCTTGGTTCTGTGACAGCATCTGACCCCTGGGACACGGCGTACGCTGCTTCTGTTCCTTCTGCAGAGGGCTCGAGGAAGCTTTCGGGATCAGGAGTTTGAACAAGGGGTGTGATAGGTGGTGACAGTTTGAGAAAAACACAAACAGCAAAAGGTATTGGTGCTGTCAAGGAACATGACAGGCAAGTTCACAGCCCTCGCAGGCCTTTGGCTTCCTGTTTTCTCCTGCCAGGAAACAATCCTACGTGGTGACAGCCTCAAGTGACCCTGCAGCAGGTGGGGGCAGAGCTGGGGATGCTGAGAGCATCAGCCCCACGGGGTGAGGTGTGCAGGCAGCCCTGCCCTCCCTGGATGAAGGTGGTCAGCACGGTGTGGACGCTGCAGGCCCTCGATGTGACTGCAGAATGGGTCACCCCATCACAACAGACCTCTCCTTGTTCCCAAGCTAGAAGAAGGGGCTGTGCGATAGAAAACCTGCAGCTGGTCTCTCCATTCTCCCACTAGCATTAACTGACAGCGCAGTGACTTCCTTGATGCTTGGCAATTTTTTTCCATGCACGCATCCAGCTAATCAATTAAGTTTCTCAGCAGCTTCCTCCAGCATTCAGGCTTGGAGGGTGGAAGGAATTTGTTATTCTAGGCACTGTAGGAGAGGCATGAACTGTACTAAAAGCAAATTGGTTGTGCTTTCCAAGCACTGATGCTTCTCACTTGGGGCTCAGGGGTCTGTCCTGCTCCCACCACCTTGGCTGGAGCCGGGGATGGGGATGGGGATGCTCTGTCTATCTCAGCACTGGGGACACTCTGGGTTTCAGAAGCTACACAACCCTCCTGGTCCATGGCATTCAACCCCATCCAAGAAGCTGGGGAGGTTGGTTTGTCCTTTAACTCAGCCTTCTGCTAAATAAATATGCTCCCTGGATGCTCTTTTCCGATCAGTTGTTTATTTTCCCTTCTTCTTTTCCTACTCCTGTGCTTCTGCTTGTTGCCTGCCTTGCCCAGGAGTGCTGCTCCACGTGCTCTGTGAGATGTCCTCATCCATCCTGCCAACCTGGGGCTGTGGGGGCTGCAGGATGCAGGCAGGATGGGCGGAGGCACTGAGAAATTTGGGGTGACCCCGGGAAGACGGATTGATGGATGAGAGGAACCTCATCTCCTGCCAACTCGGCTACACCCTGCTATGGGAACGGAGATGTTTTGTGCATGTTTAGCAATGTGAGAGGCTGAAGCATGACAGCAGCAGGGGTCAGGAGGGCTGTGGGGTTCGTTAGGAGTGTGGCCAGTCGGGTGATGCTCCTTGCTCCCCATGAGACCAATTGCAATCTGCACATGCATCCTCTCAGGACAAGCAAAACTTGCGCTGTGCTGCTGTCCTTTGGCTTGTGGCCTTCTCGTGGCTGGGATCCAGTTGAGGTGAGAGCAGTCCCTCTCCTGGGCTTCTCCATGGGCTCATCACCCCAACAGCATCCTGCTGAGAGGACAAGGGGGAATTGGGTGTGGAGAACAACCTATGCTTGAGGAGAATTCTCTTTATCAGCCAGAGGATTTCAGCCACCTCCACGCCTGTTCCCTGCAGCCACCTGGTGCCAAGGGATTGCATCCGCATGATAAATCTCATTGCTCTTCTGTTCAGGAAGTAATTTGGTGAACCAGGAAAGGGAATGTTGCTTGCTACCAGCCTTCTTTCCAAACAATTGCACAACGCTGCTCCGGGGTTAGCAAACTGCAGACATCTGGGAGCAATCGATGCTGTTTAGGCTCTGAGAAGGCATAGGAGAAAGTTAGAAGGAAGCAACTTGAAAGCTCAGGATTGTTAAAAGCAGTCTGGAAACCCTGGAAATTCACATGAGGGTAATGCCTACAAAGAGCCGGGAGGCAGAAGGAATGAGAAAGACAACAGCAGCGTCCACAGGAGCCTTGGAAATGGATAAAGATTTGGGGAGCCACATCTTCGGTGACAATCTGCCCCCCCAGCACCCGCGTAAATGAGAAACCACATAAGCCTCGCACTATTATTGCTACGCAGCATTAAAGTCTCTCATTTGGGATAAACATTCTCATCTCCAGCAGAGCATGAATAACATTAAATGAGATAGTTAAAATGTTTCAGACCAATTATAGCCCCGGTGTAAGTTGGGCAGAGTTGCACCAGGGATTAATTTGATGCGGAGAGCTCTGCCTCCTGTTCTGAGCCGGGATTCCAGTGCGGGTAATTACATCCTGCCTCTGCTCTTCCTCTGCAGTTTTAATTGGGTTGAATGGACCAAATCCGCAGCAAGTGTAAATCTATGTAATTGAGCTCTCTCTGGAGAGGAACCCTGCTGCTTTACACCCTCCAATCTGGGCCAGCGCTCTTCCCTTCCTCCCTGCCGGGCTCCAGCTGCCCAGGGCTGCCTGCCACCCCATGAAGGGCTCCCATTCTGCCCTTGGCTGAAAGTCAATGATTTCTTGAGCTGCCATGGACAGCCCAGAGCCCAAACCCTGCGTTGGTGAAGGTGAAGGTCTGCTGATGGGTGCTCTGTGCCTTCTGCTGGGAAACAGCCCCATTAAACGGCCTCCTCCCCATCTCCTGTCCTCATCCCATCCCAGATCCAGGCTCCAGCACACAGAGCAGGCAGCTGGACCGTCTCCCTCTCCCACTTCCCAGCCTGCTGAGTAAATCAGCAGTAATGAGGGACATTTGACCCTCTCTTTCCCTGAACAGCCCCAAGAAGCATTTTTCTTCCATGAGGTACTTAAGAAGCTTGAAGTGCTTTCCTTCTCCTGCTTCTATTGTCGCTTTGCTTTCCTTGTTTTTGTTTGTTTGTTTTTCTCTCCTATGAAAGGACAAGTTATGGGATGCAAGGAACTTTCAGGATGCCTCGGGATCAGAGGGGATGCAGCCAGTTTGGGTCCCGTCTCTTTTGGTCCAGCAGAAAACTGCATGTGCGATCAGAGCTGGGAAAGTGCTCCTGCTGGCTGCAATTAG